CTAATATTCATTTACTACAGTTTGATCTTGAGCTATTGGGGCTTCTAAACCTTCCCTTGTGAGCCAATCTCAGCCTAATATGTCTCAGTGCCTGGAAGCTTTTCTGAGATTCAGTTTAAATCTCCATTTGCTTAATTCCATCCCACCCCCTCCTGGGCAGCAAATTCACACTTCTTCCCCCAGTCATCCCTTCGCCAGGCTTTTTTAATCTTTCCCCTTAACTCAGCCTGCCTGACCCCTCTTTCACTTGCCCTTCTTTGAACTGCATCTAGCTTGCCCAGGGTTCTCCCAGCGCCAGTGATTCTTTTCCCTCTTTTGCACATACAGTGGTGTGAAACTGAATGGCATAATCAGCACTATGAACGCCCTCCTGGAGGGGATGAGTGAGCGATAGTGTGTAGGAGCAGTGACTTTGAATGTGCACAATCTCAGCCTTGCTGCTGCAAGAACACTGCTTCAGGACAGCACAATAGGTCAGGTGCTGGCAGCTGGTCTCTTGACTTCAGTTACTGTGGGGAGCTGCTGACCTTGCCTGCAACTCTTGAGACACTCAGTGGGGGGCATAGGGCACAGTAATTACTGAATAGTTGCAAGCAGGCCAGAGCAAAGCAAGAAAAATGCCCATCAGCGTTAGCCACCACAGCCTCCAGTTACCACCACACAGAGAGAAGACTAAAACTGCATCTCCTTGGGGACCAGGACCTGCATTAACTCATGAACCCACCCTGATCCCTGATTATCAGCCCTCAGTCCCCAAGTCACCAGCACGTGATTTCCCATCAGCAGGCAAGACACTAACTGCACTTCGGGGGAGGAAGTGAGGCTTCCCCTCCTCCTCTGAGACACCACAGACAGACCTTGGCGCTACCAAAATAGCTCTGGCCCCATTTCCATACGAAGGAACCAATGAGACTGTTTCCCAGGCAGCGGGCTAAGCTGGGGACCCCCAAGCTTTGCCCAAGTGAGGGGGCTGCAGATGCCACACCCCTACTTTGAAGACAGTGGCTGCCATATGTCCCCACATATGGAGGTGAACCCTGTGAGCACTAGGGCCCCCATCATGCAATGGGGCCTGGTTACTCAGGGCAAGATGGAGCATTGCATGCTGGGATATGTAGTCTACTCATCCAAACGTAGTTGGAGATTTCCAGTAAACCCATCAGTGTTGGAGGTATAGGCCTCAGCCTGGTGGAACTTCAGGGGCCATGCTTTGGCTGCCCTGGAGTATTAGCCCAAGAAGGTTGAGAGCAGGAAGAGGAAATACCTTTGACTTGGAACACATGGGGGAAACCGAGGCACAACCTCCATGCCAGCAGTCAGCAACACCAGTGGTGGTGACGGCGGTGTGGGGGTTGCCCAGAGCAGGAATGTGAATGAAAATCCTATCCCATCCCCCCTCAAAAGCAACAATGGGCAGCTTGCTCCACCTCCCTGCTGCAGCTCCCTGGCGAGGGCAAGAGGCAGGGAGTTTCTCCAAGTCACTCCCTAAAAAGAGGGTGAGTTCATTAGGAGCCCAGGACACAAATCAAGCATTACTCTCTGGCCTGCCCAGAGCCAGCCAGACCTTTCCCAGGCTGGAAAACCCCTCTCCAACTTCCACAGAGAGTCAGTCCCCTGGGATCCAATTTAGCAGAGACAAACTGTCAGTTGAAGAGGAGAAGCTGGACATTACCAGGCAGAGGATAACGTTGGCATGCCTGGGAGCAGCCCACCATTGGAGCACGTCTCCTGCCATGTCAAACAACTCCCAGCTAGAACTCAGCCAAAGTATCTCTGTCCTGGCTGGTAACCCCCTGCTATTCCAGAGGTTAGACTCGATCTCACCCACCCAGTTCTGCCAACACATCTCAACCCTGACCCACAATCCTCCTTGGCATTCCTCATTCCTGACTGCACTACTTCCTGCTAGTCCAGTCCTTGAATACTCCCACCCCACAACTTTGCTGATCCCGCACTCCTGACCTGCAGCATTCCTACTATTCCAGCTCTGCCAATATAACTCAGCCATGACATGCAGCCCCCCTGCTATTCTAGTCCTGGCATCTCCAAACCAGAAACTGCCAATTACACAGCAGATTGTGTAACTCAATCAAATATCCACCAAGGATGAGGCAGAGGCCTAACTCTTTTCACTTGTGATCAGACCCATTTCTCCAGGACAGGTGGGCTAATACATTAACCCCTCCTGCACCATCAGAGCCCCTTCTTGTTTTCAGAGCAGAGGTGGTTCAGTTCTGCAGGCACAGTTTTGGCTCAGCTGCCCCAATCTACATCAATTACACCCACTCCTTTGAAGCAGGTTTCCATGGGAGGCTCCTGATGGGATTTCAAGTGGCTGGTAACAAGCTCATCTCTGTCTCCACTGATGAACTTTCATCACAAGTGTCAGACTGAGGACAGAGCTCCCAATGACACAGAATCTCAGGCAAGCCCATAGGAAACTGCATCACAGGTTGGGGAGCCAAGAAAGGCACTGGGCACCCACAGCACATTCTACCACCACCAGATCATGGATGGTTTGCCCACTCAGGATCAGGGACTGAATCAACCCAGACAGCTCACGAAACAGGAACTACTAGCTCTAAGCCCAGGACTTTTGTGTTCATAATTAGAATGGTTACAAGGAAGTGCTATTGCTCAATGAACCTTCTGAGAAATAATCAGCTTGAGGTTCTAATGCTAGCCCAGGCTCTGCTTCACAGGATGAATTCAAGCAAGGCACATGATGGGACAATTGCAATTCTCCTCTTGCTGCTCCTGGGCAATCTACAATCAGAAACAGAAGAGGCCTATTGGGTCATCTTTTCTGCCTCCCTAGAATAACTCTGGGCCCTCTCTGGCCCCTTTCATTCATTCATTCAGCCTTGTAAGTATTATTAGCCTAATTTTACAGACAGAAAAACTCAGAACGCAAGGGAGGTGCTGAGCACTTGTACCCCCACTGAGTTCCACTGGAATTGTGAGTGCTCAGCACTTCTGCATGCTATTCCTGACCCACCTGGGCCTAGACATTTTCAGGAGTCCAGCCTCACTGCTCTAAGCACTACAACACACTCCCTCCCAGAGTTAGGGTCCAGGGATATAACCCAGGAGTTCGGACTCAGTCCCACTTCTCTAAGCACTAACTCACAAAGGCCCGGCCATAAGTAGCAGACGTTTTTCCCCCTCACTCTTTGAAGATTTCCTGTTTTAAATTGCACCTTAAAGGGGAGAGAGCGCATGCAAGCAGTAGTGCAGCTGCAGCCATTTGCAGAGCCCTGGAAAGCTGCCTCCTGTGGGGAGGGAGTGAAAAGTGCCACTGGGAGTTAATTGCTTCTCCAGTTAGTGGAAGGCTCATGATAGGGTCTGATCATGCCAGCGTGACAAGCAACAGGTTCAGGCACCTTACAAGATGGAACCAGATAAATGAGCAGAAGACTCTCCAATAGACTCCATCTCCTAGACACAATGGGGAAGGGAAAACAATGATCCCCTGGCACACACCAAAGTCACAGCACTTAGGGCTTGTCTAGAGGAGGAAATCTTCCATCGACCTAGTACTGTCTACACCCACGATTAGATCAAACTTACTACGGTGCTCAGAGCGCGAAATTTTTCACAGCCCTGCGTGACACATCAATCTGATTTGTAAGTGTAAACTAGGCCTTAGAGAGGCTAATAGCACCTAAAGCTGTAACAGAGGAGTAGAAGGGATGCAGGATTAGGCCACTGCCTCTTTAGACACACAAAAATCCCTTACTAACTGAATCAGCTTCAGCCACAGAACCTGCAAAGGCATTTTAGGTCCAGGAATATGACCCACATGTTATGTTAGGTTTCAGAGTAGCAGGCGTGTTAGTCTGTATTTGCAAAAAGAAAAGGAGTACTAGTGGCACCTTAGAGACTAACTAATTTATTTGAGCATAAGCTTTCGTGAGCTACAGCTCACTTCATCGGATGCATCGGCATCTGATGAAGTGAGCTGTAGCTCACGAAAGCTTATGCTCAAATAAATTAGTTAGTCTCTAAGGTGCCACTAGTACTCCTTTTCTTTTTACATGTTATGCTGTAGCCAGTTTACCCCTATACCCCCCAACATGGTTCTCTCCAGCAGCACAGAAGGAACTAAAGTGTTTTGTAATCAGGTCTTCTCCAACATAGCGGATTTGGACAGGTGGCTACAACCTAAAGCAGCCTATGCAGGTGAGTCATCTCCCTTGCTGCCAGAGCTTTGTGCTTTGGAGTTTTCACAGGTGAAAAGAGCAGATTTTTGTCCAGGGAACCTGCCTCCCATTTTCCTGGCAGCCACAAAACAAGAAGAAACTCAGCTTCTCACTGGCACATCACATATATTTCTGTATCATTCTGACCACACATCCTATCCAGACCCCTAACTCCATCCACGTGTCCCACTGCTCAGACCTGAAAAGTAAATGGATCTGCACAATTTCTTTTTCTCTCTGCTAGTTCCATTTGATCTCGCCCAATCTTAGATTAATTGTTAAATACCCAGCCCATTTCATTGGGGCTGAGCACCTACATGTGACTCCGAAGAAGAAAAAAGTATGGCTCTGGGAGATGGGACATGGATTCTTCTACTGACAGTCCCCCCAGTTACAATCTAACTCTGAAGTTTTGGTGGGCACTGGCTATCTCTAAAGACATGCAGCTTCTTATCTTTGTGGTGTCAGACTCAACCAGTCCCAGGTGACGGGGAAGGCTGGGTAGGGAATGGGACACAGAACCACTCACCTCTGAGGCACTGCTGTCAATGTGACTGCAGAACAGCAGTGGCTGGAAGTCATTTGCATTTAATGGCTGTTTGGTGGCCCTGTGTGAGATGAGCTGCTCAGTTCCCAAGGGACAAGTGTCCACATCCCAGCCACAACCACAAGCAGGACTAACTGCCTCCCTTGCCTTTAGAAGCCAAGGACGGCTGGGGCCACAGAAACTAGGCTCCCCTCCCTGTGGTGTCCCTCCCGGGCCCGGGGGAGAGCAGCACTAGCCACAAGGTCACTCACGTGTCGCCATCCTCCGAGATGTAGGTGAGTGCCTCCAGCGGCTGTTGGCTGAGCCCCTCCAGGGTTTCTGCTTCCTCCTCGGGGAGCTGCCCCAGGTCGGCCAGGTGCTCGGTTAGGGAGGACGAGCTATAGGTAGAGTCGATCCTCTCCTCCACTTCCAGGGCGTCTGTTCCCTCTTTGCCCAGGGGGCCGGCGTCCTTCTCCCGCAGCGTGTCCCCGAGGCCCCGGGGGTGCTCCCCATCCCCCGGCGGGCCGGGCAGGGAGCGGATAGAGTGGATCGAGAAGATGCCCGAGTCACATTGCCCTTCTTCCAGCTCCGAGCTCTCCTTCCTCTCCGAGCCCCGCGGCCCAGACATGGTGCGAGGGCAGCGGGCGCGTAGTGGGGCCGCTCAGCCCCCAAGCACCCGACAGGCCGGCGGAGGGGGCAAAGAGAGGGCGGGGGGGGGTCTGGACCTCAGACAGGAACCGAGGGGGGAAGCCGAGCTGGGGCAGGGGCCACAAACGGGGAGCCGGGCTGGGGCAGCAGGGGGTGCAAAGGGGGGGGAATCTGCAGCAGGGGAGGAGGGCCCAGGAAGGGGGCGCTTAGAGGCCTGGCCGGGGCAGGGTCCTTGGCCGGAAGGCAAGCGGGGGCCGCGGCGGCCTCATGCCCGGCGAGCGGCCTGGAGCTGGAGCCGGAGCCGGAGCGGAATGGAGAGCCTACCCGGGCCGAGCGCAAACCTAGCTCAGCCTGAGACCCGAGCCCCGCCTCCCCGAACGCGGAAGGCGCTTCCGTCCGCTGCCATTGTCAGCCTGCGCCACGCCTCGCTGGCACCGGCTGCGGCCGGGATTCCCCCGCCACCGGCACGCCCCCTTGCAGCCTGGCACGCCCCCGCAGCTCCTGGCGCCAGCCCCGGCGCTGGGCGCCGCCCCCAGAGCCAGCGGGATCTCCCCCCTTCCAGCTCCCCGCGCTGCGAGGAGCCAAGCTGCTAATATCCTTCTCCCCCTCCCGCTCGCAGGGCTGGTTCCATGCGAAGGTTCACGCGGGGTGGGGCGGGAGGAGGCGTCCTTTGTGAATCTGGGCCAGTGTCTGTCCCTGGCTTGGGACATGGCTGGCTCCAGGGGCAGCACAGCTTAGCACCCAGCCCCTTCTGGGGAAGTTCAAAACAAACACTTAGAAAGCTTCGGCTTGCGTCCTTCCCCCGCCCCGCTGCCTAGTTTGCGTGTGTGCGGCTATGGGTGAGAGAAAATCCGTGTGAGTGTGAAAGAGATGGTCTGTGTGAGCCCCAGATGTTTGCCCGGCCAATTCCCAGCTGTGGCTTGTGTTTGTTCAGGTGGTCTGGGCCTGCCTCCTCCCTCTGGTGGTGATTTCGGGCTGCGGTAGAAGTGAGCAGGGAGCTGGCTAGGCTAGGCTGTGTGAGTGACAAGACTGGTGTACGCTAGTGTGTGCCAGAAATTAGACTGAATGAGCCTCTTACCAATGACAGTGGTAGGAACGAACAAGATTTGCTTTACAGACATGCACGTTTTAACCAATTTAGTCCTATGGGACCTGTGCTGCCTATGTAATGGGATGCGGCAGCCAACATTACACATCGGTGGTGCCTATAATCTCCATCTAGCTGTATAGAATTATCTTAGTTTACAGGTACAGAGGCTAAAGCAAAGAGAGGTGAAGTGGTTCACCCAAAGTCGCACATTAGTGACAGCGCTGGAAATAGAATTGGGAGTCCTGGCTCCTAGACCTGTGCCTGTCTAGACCAGAGCTATAACCACTGTATAACACTGTCTCTCAATGCTGCACATCATCTTAGGTACAGAGGAGATCTCCAAGGTCCAAACTAGGCCATCCCCCTCACCAGGGCCGCCCAGAGGATTCAGGAGGCCTGGGGTTTTCGGCGGCGGGGGTTCTTCCACTCCGGGTCTTCAGGGCACTTTGCCGAAGACATGGAGCGGGAGGACCCCCGCCGCCAAATTGCTGCCAAAAACTCTTGGGGGGGCCCCTGAAAACTCTCATGGTGGCCCCTGCAGGGCCCGGGGCCTGGGACAAATTGCTCCACTTGCTCCCCCCTCTGGGCGGCCTGGCCCCTCACCACAGCCATTACAGGATTATTCCCTACTATGGATTTGCACAGACTTTGTCCAGTTACATTTTCAGGACTTCAGACAATGGGGCTTCCACCCCTTTCCTTGGAAGAGAGTTGGAGGTTCAGCCTGTTTTGCTTTTCTCAGTTGCATCCATAACTCCTAGATCTTCTGTGTTGGAGATCACAATGCATCTCTTTCCCTCTTGCGGGTTTACACCTCTCTGGTGCCCATAGGCAGTTAATTCCAAAAGGAAGGCATGTGTCCTACCACAGAAGGGAGGAAAGCTGAAGACACAGGAAATTCAATAGGGAGATCTCTATGCCAGTCTAATTTACCTGGGAAGCACTTGGACCCAGATCCTAAAAGATGTTTAGGCTCCTAACTTTCATCAATCAATGGAAGCCAATGGAAATTAGGAGCCTAAATACTTTTGAGGATCTGGTTCCTAGATACCATGGTGAGGGGTGCTAGGGAAAGCCTAGATCAGATTGCTCACAAAGCTCAAGCAACTTCCCCCTGCAGTGCTGCAGCTGTTGCTTTGGACTGATGGGAGCCTGCGTCACAGTAGCTCACACCTGCCATTCATGCATTTACTCCCAGCCCCCACTGTGTATTAACTACTGTAGAAACAGTGCCCACAGAGGTGGTGGAGGGCAAGTGCAGGAAGTCACTGGAGCTCTCAATAATTTAAGGTCACAAGTTTTCCCCTAGCTCATGTGATCAATTCCACTCTCTGGATCACTGTCTCTGACCTTTAGATCAGGAGTTCTTGCAACAAATTTTTGGGTGGCCTCAGAGTGCGACCACCAACGCATGCTGGTGGCCGCTCTGACAATTTTTCCTAAAAGACTTAATTAACTTTAGGAAAAACAAATAATTATGTGCAAAAACACGTCCAAATCATTGTAATTTATTTATGGAGGGTTTTGTTGTTGTTTTTTGCCAACTCAATAATTTAAAATAATGTATAGTTGTCTATTCATTACTGGGCCTAAACAGAACAGCAACACAAATAAGGTGCTTTGCATGTTTTGCTTTTTTTGATTGCGTTTTTTTTTTTTTTTAGACTTGCTAGCTAGTAAATCTGCTGTGAAAAGTGACCTTTTGTATATTTGTTAATATCACTTTTCACAGCAGACTTGCTAGCTAGCTGGGAGGCTGTGAAAAAAGGGATATTAACAATATCATTTTTCACAGCAGACTTACTCAGCCCCGGCAAGCTTGGATGGGGAAGTGGGCAGGGAGCCAAGGGGTGATAGGGGGATAGATGGGAGGCAGCAGGAGTCAGGGGAGATGAAGGAGGTGAGCCCAGAGCAAGAGCCTGGGGCCCTGGTACACAGATGGGGACTGGAGGAGGCAGTAAGGGCCAGGGGCGATGTGCGAGGGTTGAGCCCGGAGCCCTGCGGCTGGGGGATGGAGCCTGCTGCTGCACGGCCAGAGCCTGTCACCCACCACCCCAGGGCTTAAGCCTGAAGCCCGAGCCCCACCGTCTCCAGGAAGGTGGGGAGCTCACGTTGGCCGCCTGCTCCTACAGTGTTTGTGGCTCCAGAAGGGGACAGAGACCAGCCCCTGCTGGCGGCCCTGGGGGAGGGTTACTCCCCGGCCCCCTCCCCATCATCACCCGGGAGGCTGTGGCCACAAGGAAAGCCCCTGGTGACCGCATGCAGCCACGGTGGCCACATTTGAGAAATGTTGCTTTAGATTGTTCTGTTCTTTTACACCATGGTTCTGCTTGGATGTATCTGCAGCTGACATTTCTCTCCCTCTGGATGCAAAGGTAGACAAATCTTGATGTTCCAGCTCTGGGACACAGCCTTGCTGAGCTCTTGACTAGAGCCTGGATCTTCACCCTGAAGGAGGAGAAGCCTGTGCAGGCTTCTCTCACCATCATGTCCAGCACACCCTGCAGCATAGCAGTGGCTGAGCCAATGGGTTCCAGGAATGGCCAGATGGCAGAGGAAGAACAGGAAACTCTGCGGTCCTAAGAGCATGCTGTGTCGTCCCATGGTCTGAGGTAGTAACTGGGAATTCCTACCTTCCTCTGCCGCAGGCAGCAGTGCATGCCCATGCCTTTCAGGGGATTCTCATCACTGATGTCTGGCACATGTTTGCCTTCCAGAGGATGGCTTCCAATCACTGAGCACAAGGGGAGCTTCCCAAGAGGCTCTTGGGGAATCTGATCCATGAGTCAATAAGACAAGCCAGTAAACGCACAAGGGTGACCTCCTTTTCCCTCCTCTCCCTGAATTTATACTCTAATAGACATTCCCCATTGGCTCTGGTCACCTCCCCAAGTGCCCTTGCTTTTTGCATTCCACCTGTACCCTGCTCTAGCCCCATTGTGGTGGATGTCACCGTGTTGCTGGAACCTACTGTCCTGGGTTAGAGACTGATCCCTCCCCTTCACCCTGCCCAGAGGTGCAGCAATGAGCACTGACTTCTGTCTAAGGCCCCAGATGTGTGCATGTGATATTCATTATGGGAAGCAAACTCATAGCTCTCAGGCCATGTCTTACAAAGCACGTCAGCCAGCCCAGTCCTGGACTGATTTATTAGTGATTTTAGCACTGGTGAGAGAGGCTGGATAGACAGCCCCTGAAGAGTGATGGCTTCTGGAAGGGCCTCTTCTAGTGAGTGTGGAGAGTTAGATCTCTATGACCTATCTGCTGCTTGGCTTTTATGCCAGTTAGAGACAAAGTTAATAGTGGGTTTTGCTATGTAAACACTTTCCCATCAGAAACTGAGATCCATGAACTCATTGCACACATGGGCCATCAAACAGCCACTGGAGGATAACACTCCTCCACTGCTAACCAGTGACCTTAGAGCCTTCCCATGACCAATCCACTGAGCCAGTCAGCATTTGCCTTTGGCTGTCAGTGTGGTTGATCTGCTGCTGCAGCTCTGTTTCTAGTTGATTGTTGTGCCAAATATAACTCCCTCATCCCACCCCCGTTCTGCAGAACAAAGTGAGACGGAGGGGCAGCCAAACCCACACAGTCTGGTCAATATCAGCCACACAAATGTGACTGGCTGTCTCAGGGGCCTTTCATTCTGCAGGAGGTCATTGGTTTGTGTCAGTCCAGGCTGACAGTGACATGAGGTGTGAAGTGAGTCTGGAGGGATGCCTCAGCCCAGCTTCAGGTAAGGTATCCACATCATAGAGTCCACCACCATAACTAGTTTTTGCCCCTCTTGGGGGACTCACAGCAAGGTCAAGAATTGAACAGGCCATAGAGACAGAAATACCCTCCCATTCTCCAAGTCATGGGTGAACTCAGCATATCACACCCCACACTGCCCCTGCTGATCCAGCACCTTCTGCCGGTGCTACCTTCACTGCATACAACGGAACAGCTCCGTGATAGGACGTCTACCCCAGGCAGTGCCTGGCTCGGTAAAAAGGGCCAATTAACCCTGTGACTGGGTTGATGAAGCCCAACTGGGGGAGGAGTTAGGATAGGCATAAAGAGAGGAAGTTGGTGGTAAGAGAAGGCTGCAGGGAGGAACTCTGCAGTGACTCCTTAGGGATGCGGGAGTTGGCAATAGACAAGGGAGAATAGGCCCTGAGATCCTGCCTTGGGATACAGACTCTGGCAAAAACCTGAGAGTGGTGAGACAGCTATAGGGAGCAGAGGAAGCTCCACTGGTAACCCAAGCGTGAGCTAGAAGAGTGGATGGAAAGGTAGGAATTTGCCCAGGTGTGGACACTGGGCACAGGGTCCGTGGCCTGGAACCTGG